GGAAAATATAGCTTGCGTACTGTGCTGTTGCATTGGAACTCAGCTGGTTGATGGATTGGTGAGGATAAAATGTTATCCTTGAAATCCAACTTGCCAAGTGGGCTGTTTACGGTTTGGCCAGGTCAAACTTACTAGAAACTTTATTTATTTAGTTGCTGGTGATAGTGCACACTATTACTAAGGTACGTTTTTTATTTCACATGACAATAAATGAGAAATAATAGAATTAAATTCTTGACGGCTTACTTATCTTACTTATAATTTACTTATCTACACGCGTACACTTCACTATGTAAGAGTACTGTGGTCACATGCACCACTGAGAGCAGATGTGATAGTCGCTTCACCTCACCGACCGTGCAATCATAGTTTTATCATCCAGCAATGAAATCTATGAAATTTAACAAAAATTTAAATTGCCCTTTATATCGCAATTAATTTGCATTATAAATGGGGTAATAAAAATGGATTGTAATCTAAGTAATTGAGCCAAATGGGTAGGTAATGGAAAAAGTCCTGGTCCTTGCGAATGATAAAACATCTGCAAGCTCGTTAATTGTCCGTCTTCGTTCATTCTACACCAAAGTCTGAGTAATTGACGTGGAAATGCAATTTGGGTAAGAACAAGGCAATTAGGACAGGCCTGAAGGCTGTTGTTAGCGAGCATGCTTTGTTAGCATAAAAAGGATCCCTGGTTAACCAAAAACACATTCTGTCCAGCCAGGTCAGGATCTTTGACAGGAAGGGTGCCGGAGTTCACCCTGTCTGGCGAGTAATTTATGGAGATCATGCATGAGATAGCAGAAAGATCACTCCACGGACGAGAGGAGGAACACGAGTCTCTTGACGCTGAGCAACTGCTGCCTGATCTCTGCTTGATGATAATGCAGCTTCTTCCATATCAACTTACGCAGACATGCAGCTTCTCTCATATCAACATTAAGGACATGCAGATCTTGCGACTGCAGTGTCCTGCGTGTGAACTTGCGAACACTTGCATTGTTCGTCATAAGAACACGTGGACACTTGTTGCTTGTGTTGCAGCTTCCTGCTGGTACACGTGTGTAAATTTACAGCTTGTGGAGCAGCTTTTTTCCGACAGGCATGAGCTCACTTGCAGCTTGCGCTGCAGCTTCCTTATTGTAAGTGAGCGTACAATTGCAGACTATATGGTGCTGGATACTTAGTATTCTCACATGATGCACATACGCAGCAGGTTCACATTACGCCATCTTCTCATGTCAGTTAATATTCTGAACTATTCTTCCCATCAAAAACATCGTCTATAGCTATACTCCTAAGGTCAAGCTGCCGAAGATATTTATTCCAATGAACATTTACTTATGCTTATCTATTCATACACTATAAAATAAAATACACTATAAAATTACAGCGGCAGAGTATGTTGTAAGATAAACATGCAACAACCGCCAGTACTGGCGTTAATTATAACCTTACCTCGTTTCGTATGCTGATCTTGAGCTTATGTTGTTGCCGTGTGTATATAGCGACATGTATATACACAGCGCCATAGTATTGCGACCACAAGCGTCAGCCTTGAATGACTTGCTGAGGTGTCGCTCTCGAGACACTCCTTTGACATGTAAATAACTCACGACTGCCATGAATGGTAGGCAGTCGAATGACTGCATAGCTTCAGTTAATTACCAAGTCCGTTCTCACTTCAGTTGTTTGATTTATTATGATTTGTATGTTGTAGTAAAAATTTGAATTGTAAAGTGCACGCAAATTTTTAAGTCGTTGTAGCCCGTAGCATGCATAATACTACTGATTTCCCGTTGTTAATAATTTAGTAGAACGGATCTGTAGAATTCCAATGTTTTATGCGTCTCTATTTCATCAAATATTCTACGAAAATCCTTTATCAATTACAGCGGGGGGAAATAAATATTCGTACACTTGAAAAATCGTATTTTAATGTATGTAAGTACACAAACTTAACAGGAAAAGTGATTTAAATTATGTATAGAGACGCATAGTATTCAAAAATACTATCAAAAGAAATTAAAAGTGTACTTACATACATTAAAATACGATTTTTCAAGTGTACGAATATTTATTTCCCCCCAACTAAGAAAATTTCATAATTCCAGTCTCATCTGCAACTGCCTTTGACTTTCATCGTATAATTTACGCGTACTCGAGTATTTTGTTCAGGATCTAAATGTTCATTCACTTCTCCAACATTCCCAGTTGTGATCGCGGTGTGCACCGCTATGATGGCTGACGATCGGCCTACCCCGACTTACCCATAATTCCTTACAAGATGGATCGCTTAAAAAATATTAGGGAACTGTTTTCATCGAACAATCTGTGGTGAATTCTCTTCCAGCAGCTATCAAAAGCTCGCCTCTGAACTCGAGTGTCGGTCGGCGTCAGGCTCCGAGGAAGACTGCAGTCGACAATTTGCGGACGTTCCTTGTCGTAACTTTGTGATGACGAGTCCCGATATCGCGCGTCGGTTAATGTTTAGAACAATATTATTCCTGATGCCGGGGCAGTAAACCAAGCGGCAATGATTCATATCATCTTGCTTGTTTATGTCCATCTGATGGATTATAAACACGCCTGCTACACAAATACGCCGCACTGTCTAATTATGCTCACATTAAATCGCTATATCATGAAATATTCATGCAGATTTTAAGGCCACACCTGGCTTGCATATTTTTTATGTATTTTCTGAAACTAGATGCATGGGAACACCTACCTACTTGGTTCCAGAAGAGACGATGCGGGATGATTGATGCGAAGTGTCTTTTGCATATATAAGAGAGCGGAATTGCGCGCGCTGCACTTCACAAAGTTCCCATAATGTCGCCTGATGTTGGATATAAAAGCTTGACCAAATACCAATATTTCATCTTACCACACTTTCTTTGCCCTCTCCTAATCTCTTAATCTTGGTAAATCTTTTCATGCTTAAAGTACCATTATAAATACTATAGCATATAGTCAGCCACTCAGAAATATTATTGGGTAATATTTTCCAAATACTAGCGCAATTTCTTACCCGCAGCACGAGCAGGTGTCCCACTCATTCCTCTCAGTGATCGTAATTGTTCAAGCCAATTAATTGAAGCATCTAACAATTGATCTCGTGCGATCGACGGCAAGTCAGGAAGAGTAGCCCGCATTATTTGGTTTACGGTAAATGTATTTTTCACCGTCAGTTATGGAGCCTTCAAAATAAATTGTTCGTGCTGCTAAACGCCATCCCTGAGTCTGACCTCGACGACGTGATAGGCGTTCCACACGGCACGCAGTGCACTGTAAACGATCTATTCCTGCATTACCGTGCACTGCAGAACAAGCTCGTCTGGGCATTATATAGTAAGTGATCGCTGTTGCTTGTGATCACGAGAAAACTGTTTGTCTGATATAGCAAAACGATATGAAATAATATCGATCTCGAACGGTTTGCTTGGAAAGCTGTCTGTTTGCTTTATTTGCGCTCGTATAGTTACTGCGTGTGCGTGACTGAGGGCCTTTGTTTAGTTCGACTACTTGACGCTTCACGAAAGAACAGTCATATCCCTCAAATGTGTGCATCAAAAGATACTTAAGTGGATTGGTATCAAATCATGAGCAGTACAACCAAAAATTTCATCTTTTTCGTACAAAACGTTTTGATATTCATAGCCCATGGTTTTGGATGTGAAAAGTTTTCCTAAGAAATTAATATTGACATTATATCCTTCGAGTTTCTCGATTGAGACCTGTAGTTGGAGCCGCGATGTTGACACTCCACGAGATTCTCAAACATTTTTTCACGATGATTGATGTGTGGACCCGATGATAATTTAGAAGCCCCAGAGCAACTATAATAAACTCATTAGTGAGCAGGGCAGTGGGAGGCTGCCACGCAAGACACTAAGCAAACAGCTCATGGTCACGCTCCCCCATACTGCGTCCATGTCGTCTCTACACACGCGAATCTGAACGTAAGCACCGATGTATTATTAAGAGAAGTCAACTTCTCGTGCCTGTAGATGCCTGAAGCTATGCCCGGTAACTGCATGTGTCGTCACGATCGCCCATCACTCGCCAATAATTTAAATTCTGTGGACGTTTTTACTTGCCACGCACCGACTCACAAGTGGGCAAATGTAGAATGTTCAGCAAGAACCTTTCTGCCGCACCAATTATGAGGAGAAGACGACGGTCTGCCGCACATTCTGCGGGGCATTTCGTGCGAGGAGGTCGTTATTGCCAAGAAAAACTTCGGGCTCGCTCGTAAAATTGCCGCCAAATTCTCTAATGAAAAATAAAGCCCCGAGTTTGGGTGTTTGCGGTGATTAACGCGCGGTCCCAAGTGATGGATGAAGCACGTAGCTTCTTTCGGGGCCGATTTCTGAAAAGTTTTGTTTACGAAGACAAAGATCTTTATCGTCTTTCCAACTACTGAGGATTACTACTGCAAAATATTTCAGGGCTCTAGAAAATTCCATTGAAAAATTGGTTGGGGAAACGTCAAAGGTGATGAATCGGTTAGGTAATCGTAAATAAAAATTTTATGTCGAGACAAACGCTCTTCTCATACTTGGTTTGCCTAACCTTATTTGGCTAATTCTTTCTAGGCATTGTATAAAGCCGTGGAATACAGAAAATGAAAATGGAAATGGATTGTTAATGACGTATTCGCATCTTGCATTACATGGTCACTACCTTGCGCGCTGTAATTATCATCTTAAGCAAGTCGTAGAAATCTCGGATTAGATATTATATAAGCACCCCTCACGACATATAACTGCATCTTGTGGAACGGATAACTGCATCATGCACCTGGATGGAAAATTTAGGCCTCGCTTCTAATACATTTTTTTAATAGAATTTTGAGAACAATACTAAATTTCTGTGGTAATTTAACCGAATATTAGATTTATCGCAAGCCACTCCTCAAATAAAAGAAGCTCGATTTTAGGACTAGAAAAAAATATCCAGCTGAAAGCCGTATAATAAATTTTCAAATAGGCGATTCAATTTCAAAATTTTCAAATCAAATTTTCGTGAAATATTCCTGATTTGAGTTAGTCTTGAATTACATGAATATAATATCAATTTTATTAGCCATGTCTGCATGTAGGCAACCTGCTAGATTGCAGACTGCAAATCCATGTGGCCGACTGTAAGGTACTAACACTATTGCCTATCTGAAGCTTTGAAAAGACATCTGCTTTCGAGGTACGTCAATTTGGTGAACAGAGTGCCCTCATGAGAGGCTGCTACCCTGATGAGAGCCTCCTAATTAGGTGCTATATCTGGTGATCAAAATATCATGCGTCTAGAAACATCTGGTCGTGTTGGAGCGACAATGAATTCGCAACTTGAATGATACTATCCATTCATTGTCAAGTCGATGCCCGAACAAGTAGCATGCTATATGAACAATTATTTCAGAATTGCTCGTAATTTACGAGAATAACACACTTCTGTACGTGATCATGACTGCAGAAACAAACATGTAGTATATCACGAACAAGCAACACTGCAGTCTGGCAACCAGCGTCGGGCTGCTGGTTTTGACTTCATCGTCGCGTCGACGGTCATGGGGCAAGGCTCCCTCTGAAGACCGACGCACGGCCCCCACAGCGTCCAGAGAATATGACGCTTCAGCATCACGCTCATAATCCTCACTCGCAGTCTGGTTAATGGATAGAAAATATGATCGTGTTAAAGATATTCATCAATTCACTCAATTCGAACCCTTTACCGCTACTCTAGTGGCATTTTGGCGTTGGGACTGTGTTTGAGTTGAGATAGCGGTCAGTTTTCATTATTTTACCAAATATACCATAACATTTTTGAACATGTGGCTGTATTTGTAGTACAATACAACTACAAAACAACACCTGTAAACGCCGATATCAATTATTTTGAAGTAACTTCTGAATGCAAAACTTCTGAATGCAAAAAAATAACTATACCTTGCAACAAGGAATGCCGCAGCGGCGTCCGGCGTAGTTGCGGCGCAGCGGGCGCCGTATTCCCGGTACTGGAGCGAGCGCCGGCGTGGGGGGAGAGTGGGCTAACCGCACCATCACCACACTGAGAACCATCATCACCATCGTCACCACCACCTGGCCGCACGTCAGCGCCACTGACGCCAGACACAACACTCAGGGACTATGCATCAAGGCGTTCAGCTCCGATAGTCGTCTATGGAGTTTGTCAATTACGAATCGGTCCAATAACTACCCTCATAAATAAGATACATAACTCCTCTCTAAATTTATACTTAATACAGGAATTTTGAATTGAATAACGAGAAAAATTAGTAAAAAATTTCGTCAGCTATGCCTCTATGTATTTATGCACTACAAATCAATAAGAGACTGACTCATGACTGCCGCTGGAAAGCTATAGTATAATTATTTAAAACCATTCAGCTATTAAATAATTCTAGTTACGTTTTAATCTATTCCAATTACAAAATTTTGTATTTTTTATAGAAATGCTATGCTGGTATCGAAACAAGATTTTCATGGCGCGCCTATGAACAGACTTTATTTCTTTGATGTGAATGTGGGGATTGGGGGCTCACCCGGGATGGGGAGTGGGGGATGTGGATGGCGTTGGGGAGTGAAGGATGTGGGCGGCGGGGGACTCACCCAGGATGGGGATGTGTGAGGGGGAGTAGGCGATGTAGATGGTACTGGGGGACTCACCCAGGATTGGGGTGTGTGATGGGGAGTGGGGGATGTAGATGGCATCGGTGACTCACCCAGGATGGGGGTTGTATGAGGGGGAGTGGGCGATGTAGATGGCGTTGGAGGACTCACCCAAGATGGGGTTGTTCGAGGGGGAGTGGGGGATGTAGGTAGCGTTGGGGTGGCTCACCCAGGATGGGACTGTAAGATGGGGAGTGGGGGATATGGATGGCGTTGGGGGACTCACCCAGGATGAGGCTGTAAGAGGGGGAGGTGGGGGATGAAGATAGCTTTGAGTGACTCACCCAAGATGGGGGTGTGTGACGGGGAGTGGGGGATGAAGGCGGCAGTGTAGGCCAGGAAGTGTAGCTGCAGCAGGAGGCACAGGCCCCCCAGCAGCGCCTTCTCCAGCGCCCCCGGGGGCAGCACAAACACCACCCCCGTCACTAGACTCAGCGCTGTGATAATCGTACTATCACACTCAAGCTCAAAATTACTATGAGCAGAAATTCTACGAACAATGCTTAGTAAAATTACATTTTCGTCGTAATTCGATACGTAAACTCCTCATATATTGTGATTTTGGAAAAGCATTTTTTTAGAATTTCTGTTCATTATACTTTTCAGCTTGAGTGTGATAGCACTCGAGGTAATATAATACTTTAGGTAATTTTTTATTTTTATACATTTCCAAGTGTCTATAATTCAAGTTTATTGATCATCGGGAATTGAACGTTGTTACATGTGTATCAACTGTCACAGATAACGGGTTAATAATGTAACAACTAGGCAGATGGCACATATATTAACTCACCTACAAGCACGAATTGAAGAAGTCTTATATTCCACCCAGGCTGTCGCACGAGGTTCAACGTAAGGGTAACAGAAGGGTAACTGCTTGAATCGTTACCGTTACCCACGTAAGCCTGTTTCCTCACGCTCGAATCTATTACAGTCCATGAGACGTGGGACTCGCTTTCATCTTCACCGACGCGGTCTCTGATCATGTCTATCTGCACCGACCAGATCATAGGTTGTTAGACAGCTCGTCGTTATCATCCGAGTCAATATTCAATATCCTTATATAAACCTATACTTCAGCGAGGTTATCATAGTGTTCCAGATTAGGGTGTCGGGAGTTAAATCTAAAAAAATGTTCGATCTCGTTTTTCGGTAATGTATCGAACGTCCTAACATGACACTACATTTTTACTATTTCATCATAAAAGTGAATGCCAGGCACGGCATAACACGAGTGTGTCGGTAAATCTCGATGGATCTTGGTGCTGAGTTTGCAACATCTGCTTATGATGTTTCGTTTCCAAAAAGTTTCATACTTTCAACATTTATGTGGAAGGATGCAAGGTAATAGGAAATATTTATTTGTAATTAAATATTTGTAATTAGAAATACAGAAGGAACTACACGAGTCTTGGTGTAGTACTGTTTTTATATGCATTATAGCACTGTTAAATAACTACTTTATGTTGTTTAATACTATTCCTGCTGAAAATATTTAGCGTGCAAGGAAATTCATAGATATGATCTGACAGTAATATAATTCCAGCACTTAAATCCAATTTGCCTTCGAATCACTGCTTTATCTGAAATATCACTGTTTATCCTGGGTACCAGCAACATCGGTTATAGTGATTTCAGTAATACCGCTTAAATCGGTATGTCTGGAAAAACAATTATAGCGGTAATTCTCACCGAAACATATTCGTCAGCAAGGATCTCTATGGCGTCAGCGTCGTGCACCCAAGACCCGAAATTAGCGGCACAGTTGAGGGCATCGTGCGGCCACTCGGCCACGGCCGCAGCGAAGCAAGCAACCCTCACAGTTGCGGGGTACACGTGCGTCATTTGCCCGCTCGGGAGGGCGGTCAAGAGGACAGGTGGGACGGTTCCCGTGCTGGCCGCATCGAGACTGGTCGGTGGACGGTGGGAAATGGAATTTGAATATTTTTGAACCCTTGTCAGATTGTATAGGTACAATATTATTGTACATAAACTTGGTGCGACTATAACCTTGTTATATTATCTAGTCTGACTAGTGTTAAAACTTTTAGAGAACTGGTGAGTTTACAGAATGTACCTTAAAAGTGGTTGAGATTATGGGATAAATAACTAAAAAAATTCAGTAAGCCGTGAAATGTGATAATTTGTAAATTAAAAATGACTTTTGTAACTACTAGCAAGACGCACCCGTTAGTAAGGACGATGTCAGGATGCCAGACGCGTGTAGGGGCGAACGTGAGCTTGGGGACGAAGGTGGCGCTGAGGGCGCTGCGAGAGAGACGAGGGTCGACCCATCGCTAGGGAAGCTTTAGATTAGCGACAAGCTTTAGATTAACTATACCAATGTTTATTCCACTTGAGAGTTACTAGTTACTATATGTATTATGTACGCTATTTCATTCACTATGATTGCATGTAGGGAAATATTACAGTATGATGAATAGGTAGAAAAACAATCAAGTTTTTTATTATGTTGGAAAACAAAACAATATCTGGAGCGTGGTAAATATACAGGAAAATAGAGTATGCTGATAATGCAAGAAAATAATTGAGTGTGGTGGTCAAGTATATAGGAGCATAATTTATTGACGATTTATATTAATGCCCGACCGATTACTGAAATAATTTCGTGAGTTATTATCTTACAGTATGAAAAGGAATTTCTATTTCAGATTCAGTACTATTAGGACAAAACTGCAACTACGGCTCCATGAATTCCTCACCATCATTATCCATATATTTAATTCTATTTCCTCTTCGGACTCCACCTGAAAATAGAAACGGATAAAATTATATTAAATGTTGACTGTATTTTTATTTGTATTGTTGTTCCTGACAGTCGCTCCCGGGAATGAAGTTCTCATGACTAATCTATTTAAGAGGTGAAATCACCATGCACCCGCTCTCAAGACAAGTTTATAACTCTGAAAAAATCTTGAAATTGCAGATTTTGAATATGGTGGGTCGATCGTGGGAATAGGCAAAGTAAAATCTATAATTGAGATGTTGATTATTCAGCTAAATTACTTGGCATAAGCGTCATAAAAGTTAGTAGAAATTTCGATCGTGGCTTTATTTTATTTCGTTTCACTTTTGCATCGGTTTCCAGAACCCTGATCCACGGACCATCGAGCTGAAACCTGCCAATGTTCGTAAGTTTATTTCATTGTTGCAATAATCCTTTTTATGTGTGGCATCGTGCATTCGATCCGTAAATACACTTGGAGGAGAGGAGGAGGAATGTCATATCTCAAATGAGTTGCTTGGTTTCGGACCCATGAACTGTGACCGAGAAGCGTATTCGGCCGCGCCCTGACCGTTGCGACTCAATTGTACAAGTTGCGTTTTGCGTTAAATCCAGTTTTTCTTGATGACGCTTTGAGGATATAAATCGTGACCAGGAAAATGGAATCGTTCTAGACCCAGCTGAACTGTTGCGTTCGTACACGTGGCTTATTCGTTACATGAACAATGTCCAGTTCATTCTAAGTAAATGAGGCATGACAGCCAATTTAATAAATAATTTATCCTAATTTGTAACGCTGCGTTACCATTTTAAAACAGTCATAGATGCCGGTTTGTTCATGGTAGAATATATTTTATAACTGGGTGCTGTTCAGGTTAAATTTAGAATATCTTCATACAAATTGACTTAAGTCATACAGCAATGCCTTGAGTTTGCGCGAGCGCATTCGCAACATATCACTTCATCTCCCGCCTAACGAACATGACGAATCGTTCTCAAGCACGGAGTGTACCTATAAATCAGTTTTACTCAGCGCTGAAGTACGTTAATAATGATATTTTCGTACGGCAATATTACACACAAAAGATGCATTGGGTCTACATTTCGCTGTTTTTCATTCATATCCGGTAAGGTAAACTGTAAAGTGACTGGGAAGCACGATATTGCTCAGATGTCGCAGCCACAAATTTATAATTTACTATAAATACGGAGTACAAATTGGTTTTTCAGGAAATTCTCTTCATGAAATGCTCCCAAGTCAATAGAAAAATGCAGTGCAAGTTGCGCTCCGGCTTATATCCCACTGTTTTTTAAGTTAATACCGTGTTAGGCAGAGAAATAACACTTTCACGTCTTCATCGTTAGTGAGCAGCGTCATTGCATCAGCTTTCAGTAACCTGGTCAATTAACCGATATGATGACATTCACAACCGTGGTTGGGGCATCCTTTTCAACCTTCAAATCTGTCGATTTGAATAATTTGAGTTTTTTACAAAAAATATTAATATTTACGAACGTATTTATCATCTTCCAAATCTTCGTTTAAATCAAGTATCTGCACGAGCTCACCACTTTGAAGTCCCGTAGAGTGAACTTGATAGCGACGTAGGTGACATTGCTGGACGGGCGGCTGGAGGGGTCGTACGTTTTAAGAAGATGCTGGCGCAGGCGCTGCTCCAGAGTCTCCTGAGCCACAGCAACACCTGTATACAGAACGCCCACTTGTCATCCTAAATGAATACTAGTTGAATTATTACCTTATTGAATTATTATTCTATAGTATATAATTAAGTTAATTCCAGATACAATTATTATATTGAATTATTTTAGACATTCCACATTGTATGCAGAGTTGCCCATACCAACATTTCTTAACGGGCAATTGCAACGATATTCAACAAAGTTGAAAAAACTGATGAACGCTTTGCTCTATTAACCTTCTTTTAACAAGCTATTTATCAGAGAAAACAGGTACATACATCATCCCTAAAATGCTGCATGATAATCGAATACCAGTATCAACGAAACCGAAAATTTAGTTCCTAGTCACAAAGTATCCACGTAAGTTGAACCACTTTTCAAATTGCATGGCGGTTTTAAATTCATGAAAGTTTTGCCTCGGTTGCAAAAGACCGGGATGAATAAACATTTCTAAAAACAACCAAACGATACGCGAAGCGCCAATTTTACTTAAGTATTGCTCGAACTCGATATGTTTCCATAAACCCATCATTTTATTGACTGACGAGTCACTGATCAACGCGCTGCGACTAAGCCAGGCAGGTAGATTCGAACGCCGACAATTGAAACCGAGAGGCTTTCTCAATAAATTCCTAGATTCAATCATCGATATGCAGATGCCAATTGCATCCCACTCGTCCACTGAAGGTTTGTTTCTGCCGCTCTTTAATGGAGCTCAAGGTTAAATGTCCATTTCTTGCTGCATGATCCCTATCCTTGAAATGGATTCTATACAACAATTATCGGTGGAACGTCACCGGCCATGATGTGGCCGCTGGTGCAGCGTCTTATATGGTTTCCATAATGATTATTTATTCAAAGCTTACTAAAGTAAAGTTTATTAAAGTAATTTTTTTCAGTTCTGTCTTCTGTAGTCCTCGCGCCATAGTGATCCCGAGACCGCCCCTGCAAGCTACACTTCGCCGGCGTCGTGTGGACAATGCAAGCGTAGGCGACGACGATCGTTCCTGCTATTCAGTTCCACTATCATTGTTTAGGCATTCAAACGTCACGAGAAATTGGTAATGATATACTGCTAATAATGCTAATAACTGATACTAATATATAAATAATGTTGCTTCTAGTGTTGATGTGAGTGTTGGTGCTAGTGCCAGTGTTGACGCTAGTGCCAGTGTTGGTGCTAGTGTCAGTGTTGGTGCTAGTGCGAGTGTTGGTGCTAGTGCCAGTGTTGGTGCTAGTGCCAGTGTTGGTGCTAGTGCCAGTGTTGGTGCTAGTGTCAGTGTTGGTGCTAGTGCGAGTGTTTTCAGTGTTTTTGCTGAAGCCAGTTTTAGTGCTAGTGCCAGTGTTTGAGCAGGTACTAATGTTGATGCCAATAATAATGTTGGTGCTACTGCTGGAGATGGTACTATTGTTGGTGCTAGGGCCAGTGTTGATGCGACTGCTAGTATTGATTCTAGTGCTAGTATTGGTGTCCGTGCTAGGTATGAATATAAAGGAATGGTTTTCGAAAATACTTCTAAATCATTTTGTGATGCTGATCCAGTAGAAATCTCTGGTGATGGTAAAATATTTTTCAAAGCCACTATTACCCTGAATTAGTCCATGCTTCTTGTATTTCGCGCTATTACTTAATTTTTTTCTTAGTCTCGAACTCGTGTTTCGTGTCTAATTCCTTTTCCAGAGCAATGCTAATTAATCAATATATCCAATAAGTGTATCCCTTCATTTTCTAATTACTGTATCTTATCTAATTACTATATTCTATCTTGCAAAGCCCATCTATGGAGAGGCTCTGTGAATCCCATATTTACTCAATAGATTCCATAACAAAATTATTATTATTCCATAACAAAACAAATTATTCCATAACGCAAATCCTGCAGCCGACATCATTCAAACAGGGCTCATTTAATACATTTTCTGGAACTTCGCCAGCGCTCCACTGAATATAAAGGACCCACAGAATTTCCTTCACCGCTTCACCGATTTTCACATCAGCATGCAGTAATATAGGTGGCCAAATTTCGGCCAATACGTGGTCGCACATATTTTATCCGTGAGTTAAAATTGTGCTGCAGGCGCTGGAACTTAAAATTCTGCGCGAGTTTTGACAAGTGTTTGGCGAGTTGGCGAGAAAATAATTAGCGAAGTGTGAGGCGAAGTCTAATTGGTTGCCGAGACACGACAGCGGCGCGGCAGAGTTTTTCTCGCCAGGCGAACGTACAATAAATGACCGCCTTCAAATGGAGGCCTTAGGCACTATTAAGTTAAACTCAAGCGGCCGTGTTCTGCGAACAGTACGATAATATTTCTTATTCTTGTTCTTATTGGTACAAGGTTTGCCGATATGGATAGTTTGTGGTTATGGTGTTTGACCGGATCTGCAAAAGCTTACTTAATCTTGATAAAGTATTATTTATAATAATAGTACAACGAAAAGATTCATACAATAAATCCCACCAGCCAGCACGACGAGTTTCTCGAACCCTATTCATCTTAAATTATATTAAAAAGAAAGAGAACTCGGTACACTTCAAGTCAATAACTCATCGGCAACAACCGTGCCGGTCGTGTAGCACTTCTTAGGTTGCAGTTCCAATGTTAGATGGTAGATCAATTTGGAGTCTCGCCAGGGAACTTCTTGACATATGTCGTGGACACAGTAATGAGTAAGATTGAGAAAACAATGATGAACAAATATACTCACCGATTAAAATATGGAGCAAATGAACGACGTTGATTCTCATCCCGGTTTCATTGATAACTTATCTATCACTGAATTACTTGTTAGGCGCGTAAAGACATAAATCTGCTCTTTACTTTTTAATGAGCATGCTACTCTGGGGAAAAACAGAAATTCTTATTATTGCAATCTGCCGTATCTCTAAACACTTTATTTTTTAAAAAAAATTCAGTAACATTGAATGAGTAAACGCTAAAGTCCACTCAGTCTATACAACATTTACATGATAAGATTTTTAGTAATGATAGTTCCAGCCGGAATTGGTAAAGAAATTTTCTGAACAAATATAAACGGTGGATGGTAATGAAGCCAGCACGCAATTTGGAGAATGTTGAAAGCTTATGGAGCTGGACAAAAAAATGCACATAAAGTCGTAGTAGCACAGCGCCCCTCCGTCCGCAACACATTAAGAAATGAAGGCTTCATACTTCGAACGAGCCTGCAGAAGCCGTATGAAGGTCAATGTTTAATTGCTAGCAAGGCTTATTGATAGTATAGCATATATTTTGCTAACATCAGATTTAATCAAGGTGATCTTTCTTCGAATCTCTTATTGAACCTGTCTGCAGGTGATGATCATAGACCATTCAAATTTCCCTCAAATCTCGTATTTACAAAGCACAACACATTGTACCGGTGGATAAGAAAACTCATTGGTCTAATTGCTACTATCTCTGCCATTTTTATCGAAATTGGCGTACAATATCTAATGAATGACGCTCTGGACTTCTCTTTGCGTTCATTTTTGATTGATGATTTCGATTCAGAGTTGGCATAAAGATATTAGAAAATACCTTTCCAGATTTACTTAACTAAAAATTTGAAATTATATTTCATGTTAAGTATTGAGACTGGCTGAGAAGCCGGCCACAGTGGTCTACAGGAATCTTCAAGTCGCGAACGCGATGTTTCCAATTGTAAATCAAGCTCCTGCTTTACGAGTCCGTCATTGATACTCGCAAGCAAAATTTACAGCCCAGCTTAGCCTTTAATCAATACCCCGCTTTTCTAGCTCGGTCGAGTATCAAAGGCGCCGCATCGACGGCCGCCTTCCAACCAACCATTCAGTGTCCGCTTGAAAGCCAGGCTTCATTATCCATCTTTTGACAAGCAAGTCAGGATTTTATAGGACGGCCCCAGACTCGTCTTAAACGGCGCCAGCGCTACAATCCAGCGAAAGATTTCATTGCGTCAAAGGCGGCTGTAAATTGATATTTTCAACGGCATTACAACGAGGGAAGTTCTGGGGAATATTGGTCTTTTATGCCCGCCTCACGCCTCTTCTTAGGATAACGAGCGAGTCTCCCGAGGCAGGATATTTTTTTTCATCTCAGGTTAGTTGTAAGCAGCAGATACCTCCGAGATCTCATTTCGATATTGAGGGTGTGCAGTTGCACATGATCCTTAAAAAATTGATAATCTGTGGATAAATTCTTTATTACTCCTCATTCTAAAGCAGGACAATCTACTTAGTGAAATAGGAAGCAGTGCCTGAAGTGAAGTTAAGTGTACGGTACTGCTCAGATGAATTTCGACTACAGCTCATTGAAGTTGCAGTTGCATGCATGCTAATGAAGTTAAGTGTACTGCTCAGATGAATTTCGACTACAGATCATTGAAGTTGCAGTTGCTGCTCACTCGAATTACCTATTCATCCCCTTTATACCAAAACCTTATCGCATTTTTCTAATAAATGATTTTAGATATTGTTACTTTTCACTCTGTATTCTTTGTCTCAAATACTGATAAAAGATTCACCGCCACATCTGTGAGATGAAATGTGAACGTCGTCAAACAAGCACACAACTGAAAATTTTTAACTGCATTTCCAAAACAGCGCATTTTAAATTTCCGAAACGATTTATGCATTCTTAGTTTCGGCAGTCCTGTTGTTTTGAATGTCCTCGGGCTTGTGTATTCTTTGGGAAACCTCGTTCCTCAACCAGACACGCGGTTGAATTTTTTGCGAAATGTTTCATACTAAGATGACGCATCCGTAATTGAAATTACGTTTTTGCATTTTAAATTTACCCTCTTTGTGTGCCTAAAATCGCTTATAATTTTTCTACCGCTCTTCTTTGATCTTGAGCCGAGTCTGTGTTGACTCAACAGATTCACTTGTGCGAGGCGGCACCGTGCATGAGCAATAGAATTGACTCGTGTATTTCACCACTGCAGGAATTTCTTGTACAAATTCGCATCCGAGGATAAAATAGCAATTTCAGTCCAAGATTTACATTCTGTTCCGAAATTCATGGCCATGAAATTCTTCCTAGGAATCTTTCGTTCTAAATTCGTATATTATTCATGAATTTTAACATTTGGGCAAGAAAAATTAGTCCAAACATACAGCGGCATTACTTAATCGTAATTTCTATTCGTGAACATTAATGAGCGTTTATTTCCGAAAAATGACTATAATGCTTACTTGCTTCATAGGGTTACAATTCTTTATTTCAATAAAAAATTATTTGTAATGCGAAATTACTGTTTTCGTTTGAAAACGAACTCACTGCTGCGACTGAAAGGCATCGCTGTGTGATCAACGCGCCTTAAAGTTAGCCATTCTGCCCCCTTGATTTCCATGCTAATGAATCATGAAATAATTCCAATTTGCTTAACGTAAAAACTCATAATTATTCACCCTATTATGATTTCCACTCGTTTAAAAATAAACGTCTCCTATATATTACCTAACTCAACAATGTTCCTTTTATTTCTCAAGCAAATAAATTAATTATAAAAATTATTCGGTATGCAGCAGCTATATGAATTTTCGAGGTCACCGGCGTGTATATAAGAATATAATATAACATCGCAAGCATATAGTGCATGCTTATCAACACCGCAACTAGCTAAAATAATGCTAAACTATACTAGGAGGTAGACATTCAAATGCAGATCTCGCTATTATCCTAGCCGCTCATATGAATTGCGTGTCACATTAGCCCTTTCAAGGATACCGTTACAGCCAGGCTAGTAAGGCGCCGCCCGGAGCCTACATGATTCTTAATTTAAAAAATTTAGGTAATTCAGTTTTGCATGGCTTGCGTTACATGCGCCTTAGATTACGAAAAAACTTGGCTTTCTTCTGAATGAGTGTGGGTGTTCCTGCTTCATACAGGATTCAGTAAAATAGAAAATAGCTTTAACTTAGCTTCACATAAGCATTCTGACTCGAAAACATTACATTATTAAGTTTAGGCTAGAATTGCTTCAAAATGTCATGTTTAAATTATCTCTATTTATACTGTGTCGCGTTTTTACTCAAGAGATTATCTAAATAGCAGTCACTTGTAAACAACAGCGTAATCTACATTTGCACATTCCTTTTGAATATGTTCCTGCACCTTAGGAAAACTCATATTTCATGGAAAGCTCTTAAAGTTGATATGACCCAACTATATGACGTGCCCTCGGAGAACAGTGATTCTGTTACATGTATCATGGAGCTAAATCATTGTAAATTAGAGCACATGAATCCTATGGCACCTCATCTCTGTCGTGAAAGCGTCACAGATAATCGATCACATCCTTGCTCACTGTTCAACTCCACGGGCTATTGCAGTAAAATTTATGACCGTCTTTGTAGCTACGAAGAAAATGAAGAAAACAGCGCCCTTGCCTGTACCAGATTCTCAGTCTCACATTCAGGTTGTTCAATATATCCTGGTGCAGAAATATTAGAGGTGTTTGACGTCACTTTACGTGGCACCTTTTCGACTAGTTCACTATGATTGTGTCTGCTATAAAGGAAACAGAATTTTGAAGGAATGCAGTACTGTTATATATCAATTATAATAGCATAACACTTATTTGAGAGAGAAATATGCACGGTAGCCTGCCACGTGGTAGAGCAGAAGAGCCACTATTCGAGGCAGCGATGCTTCACATGCCTTGCCTTTAACTAGGTCATAATCTATACAACTCATCTGGTATGTGTATAACTGACCTATCTGGCAACCGTCTTCATATGTAGATGGTCCCTGAAGCGAAGTTCAAGAAGCACGTACCCACATAACTGTCCCGGTGAAGCAGAGTGTATTCAACTTCTAAACAAAGCCTCCGTTATACAGACACTTTATCTTACTGATCTTATATTTAAATATTTCATCATCAATAATTGGCATTGGAAGGCAATTTAAACCTCTGCAGATAGGCCAAGGTGGCATTTTTCTAAAAAGGGCGACATATCGGCTTCTGTAAGATGCCAGTTAAACACCCCGAATTTCCAAAGGAGAAAATTATAACAATTAAAAACAATTCCGGGACATTATTTTCCCAATTAAAACTGGGACAATTTTTTCGCTAGAATAAACATCAAATTTAGATCGTTTCAAAGTTTATTTACTGCAAACTCTTCGCACAGGAGTTTTTCATTTATGAATGCATCTGCGGCGGAATTTTAGGTAAATGTTTGGCTAGCAGTTACGCGTGACAGATGACGCTCATTTTAGCTGTCAAGAGTTGAGCGCGGTGAAGCTTTTCACCTAAACATACCTGACACGTAGCCTCACGTTGCTACATTTTGTTCTACATTTTTCGAATATAGATGACAATTTATATGAAAATATTTTCCTTCAATTCAATTTGTATAAAAAATGCTAAATTATCGATGCATATAATTCTTAGCGAGTCCTCGTTTAAATTAGCCAAACTGGTAAAGAAATTTTTCGATTTGAAGTAGACATTTTTGCTAGAGTTATTCTAATTTTGGTGCAGGAGTCACGCTCTACATGTACTTCCTCCTCATTAAATCTCCGGAGCCCCTTTTGTTGTGAGAGCCTCGTCCGTATTAATTTTTATCGTGTATGCGGATCCCCTTTGTTGTGCCAAAATCATCCGTATTCCTGCTCATTACGGAGCCCGTTTTGTTGTGGGAGATTTCTCCGTATTCCTGCTCATTAAACATACGGAGCTTGTTTTGTTGTGGGAGCCTCGTCCGTATTCCTGCTCATCAAACATACGGAGCATGTTTTGTTATGCGAGCCTCGTCCGTATTCCTGCTCATCAAACATACGGAGCTTGTTTTGTTATGCGAGCCTCGTCCGTATTCCTGCTCATCAAACATACGGAGCTTGTTTTGTT